TCTTCAATAAAAAAGGATTGTTTTTCACAGCCAAGTGTGGTGGATAGTTATCTGAGGGCCTCGTTCCCTGCTATGGATTGCAACACTGTTATGGAAAATGTATGGATCCTGTATTAAAAATTAGGGATGCTGCTTGAAATTGAGCAGTACATACATAAGGTAACATTCCTGAGTGATTTCTGTGAGCAGAAATGGAGAAAGTTGGAAAATCCATATTGCACAGATATCCATCCCAATTCTTCTTGCACAAACCCGAATGCCTCTGGTACTTGGCTGCAGGACAGTCTCGTGCAAGACTTCCTCTCAACAGGGAAAAGCTGTTTTCAAAAGACAGGACTTAGCCCTTCTGTATCCTCATTCAGAGTTTACAGATGCATATCACTGAAGGACGGGGAAGAGGATGGACTACTATGATGGAGAACAGCCCTAATGGTTAGTCAAGTGAACTGGTGGCTCACCCCAATTTCACACACAGAAATCATGCAGGTCTATTTGCTTGCAGAAAAAGCTGTTTGTTTTCCTGCAATAGCCCTTGCAATTTCCTTTAAATATACACATTGCATACTTTCGCCTAAAGGGATCAGAAGGTTTAAGGTACTTTCTGGTTATATTGCCACTATTGATCAATCTCCCAATATCAATTTGCTGGCAGACAAAAACTATCTATATAATTTCACACATTTGAAAATAGGAATGGGTTTATGGTTCTCCTCGGTGTCTTAAGAATAACTCAATGTATTATCTATATTGTGGTTTTTCATATAGTATAGCAAATACAATATTTCAAGTTGAACAACTATGATATTTACTTGCATGGACCTGTACACAACACTTTGCACAAGCTATCAGCAGACTTGTTCCATCTTCTTCAATAAAGCCATTGGACGGGTAGTTTTCTGTGTTCTCCTCACTGTATATAAAACATATCTCTGGAATCAGTGGTTTTGTCTTTTCCCTGGCCACAAATATGTCTCCTCCTTTTATTTCGGAGGATGCATAGATGTCTTCATTAGGTCTGTCAGGCTGAAAAATAAAATTTGAATAGAAAGGTATTTGTTCTTTTTTTGGATAGGTTACCTCATCTTGTTTAAACCATAATAAATCAATTTCCCATTGCTTACTAGTAATTTTGAGCTGCTTTGCTATATTCATAGTGGAGCATACATGGGACGAAAAATATCATCATCACCAATCCAGGGAAAAGAAAAGGGTCTCTCTGCCAGCTGTTCTCACTAACTACCTATTTGCTGCTGCCACTGGCTACCTCGCTCTCTCAGAGGTTGCTGCATATCTTTAAGTTCTCCATAGTTTACTGGATCAGGTTGTTGAGTCAGCTGCTGGCTAACTGGCCAAATTAACAGCTGTCTCCTTGTAATGTGATATAAACTGTCTACAGGGTGTGGTGATGCCAAAGATGGTCATCCCATTGGGGGAACCACATGGGAAAGAAGTGAGGGGGGTGCCAGTTTCCCTGTTTGAGAGTGCAGGAGATAATTGCTTTTTATTTACACTACCTAAGTCTTTTAAAAACAATCTGTCCTGCAAACAAAGGAAAGAAAAAATGTGACTTGGAGAGCATGGGACACGAAGCAGCCATTCCAATAATAATGGGTAGAGAGGAATGAGGAAATAATGCTATCAGCCTTGATTCAAGACTGTAGCATATTGCTGGGGGGCTTCAACATCCATGTAGAGATTGGTCACATGAGAGCAGCTCAGGATCATAGAATCACAGAGCTGGAAGAGACTACAAGGGCCATCTAACCAATACCCTGACATTCTGGTTTTAACTTGTGATTTTAGCCAGAATTATTGTTTAATTGTTGTTTTAATTTCTGTATTAATATGTACATTGTTTTAACTTGTAAAAGATCTTTGATGAAGGGTCTTGGGGACTGATAGAGAATGAATCCTAATTGCTATGGATCTCGACAAGACTTAGTAAACATACACTTCATGATCCAACTTGAAAGACTGGTGAGGTTGGGGGGAGGGGGTCATAGAGGATGATGGGAGTTGGGAGTCTAGTCACATCTAGAGACGTTCATAATCCTTAAGCTATGGACAAGGTCTCAGCTCTCCTTTTAACATATCAGAGGGCTCATCCTACTTGCCAGGCTGCATCTCCTAAAAACGTAACCTATGCAGGCTGGGGATGATGGGAGCTGCAGTCAAACAAGAAGTCTAAGTTGTTTGGTTATGAAAAAAGCTGCAAGTTGCAGCCCAGCTAGATCTGGGGCTGATGGGAGCTGAAGCCTGGCAAAATCAAGGCTGATGGGAACTGCAGACACCCTGATCTAGGGCTGATGGGAATTACAGTCAACCAAATCTGGGGCTGATGGGAATTACAGCTAGCCAGAACTGGGGCTGATGGGAGCCGAGGCCTGACCAGGTCTTGGACTGATGGCACTTGCAGCCCATCCGTTGTACAATTTTATAAAAAGTCTCATATGAATTTTCTAATGGGCCCATTTATAAAAATTGAAAAGCAAACAGTGTTTCTATAGCATTACAAAATCCCTAACCTGGGTTAAACTGAGTTTATTTGATAGCAGTTCATATAGCTAAATTAAAAAAGAAAATTACTCCTTCTATACGGCTTTTTCCACACCAAAATCAGGAATTCTCTCTATTCTCAGTTGTTTTTCACTGTTGGTAACCCAAGATGCAAGTGTCTGCACAGAATGACAGCATCTATTTAACATGATGGAAGAAATGTCCATCTTCACTTGCTTAGGATGTGGAACACATCTCACCACACTAAAACAGTGGATGTGGCTCTTAATGAGACATGTCGCATTATCACAGGCTGTCTGCGCCCTATACCACTGGAGAAATTACACTGTCTAACCAGTATTATACCACCTGACATACGCCAAGAAGTAGCATCCAATAATGAAAGGACCAAGGCAGTGACATCTCTGGCCCATCCCCTGTTCAATATCAGCCAGCACGTCAATGCCTTAAATCAAGAAATAGTTTTCTAAGATCTACTGAAATACTCACAGGAACACCTCAGCAATGGAGAGTCCAAAAGTGGCAGGCTAAAACCCAAAACCTCAATCCATGGCTCATACCAAATGAGAGACTCCCTCCTGGGCACACAGATGACTGGGCAACTTGGAAAGCGCTGAACAGACTGCACTCTGGCACCACGAGATGCACAGCCAACCTTAAGAAATGGGCTACAAAGTGGAGTCCATGACATGCAAGTGTGTAGACGAGCAAACCACAGATCACCTATTATAATGCAGCCTCAGCCCTGCCACATGCACAATGGAGGACCTTCTTATAGCAACACCAGAGGTTTTTAAATTTTGTGTTTTCTCAAATACATTGGTTCGCTCCTCCTAAACTTGCTTATGATAAAATCAAATTCAAACCTTCTACAAGCATTGGTAATGGCTTTGTTTTTAAATAATTTACTTTACAGATGACATATATGAATACCTCTCAAATTAGATGAAGACTATTCCCTACCTTGTAGTAAGGTTTGAGGAGTGTGCAAATGGCACAATAGGGTTCCAACTTGGCAACAGCTGCATTGTATTCCTTTTCAGCAGTAAAATTTTGTACTCTGTTCTGCCAAAGGTAGACAAGAGGCTTGGCCCAGGATTCCGTTTCTTGCACCTCCTCTTCAATTAAGAGAGTTTCTGGCAATTCTTTAAAAAATGAAAATGCTGTTTTTTAAGAATGAGGACAAGCAACTATTTAAGCAGACATAAAGACAAATAGGTTACAATTCTATATAAGGCAACAAACCTGTGAAAACACTTGCACTGACTCAAAGAGGTGGCTTGGACACAAGAGCAGAAAGGAGTATCCTTCCTACTCCGACCCAAAAGAGCTCAATTCTTCTAAAACAAATTAATCATGGCAACAGAAAACAGAATATAATTTGAGAATAATAAGTCTCATGAGAAGTAATTTCTAAGAAATACCTTTTTTTACAGAAATGCATCTCAATACTATAAGATTCTGCTTCTGCTGTACAAACGAATTTAAGTTTACTAAAATGCTGAAACAACAGACTTCATTAGAGCATGACAACATAGATTTAGTTGACAAAAAGTATTTATAGATTTTTAATGATGAATTGCCCTTGATTTCTAGAGAACAGCACGGCAATTATAAATGGCAAGATTTCTTTTGCTGGTAGAATAAGGAAAAGTTGCAAAAACTAGTTTTCAGTAGGATTCCTTTCTTGGTCACTTATTGAAGTTTCTTCACAGTGACCTATCTTCATCCCTACATTTTAATATAGAAAAGAAGAAACTGCCAAATATACAGGGAGATGAGATTCTTTTAAAGTAAGGTGCAACTGTTCTGCAAAGTGACTTACCTAAATAATCTGGAAGCTACAAATATTATTTAATACTGTAAAACCGTTCCCAGATGTGCAGCATCATTTAGCCATATTACCAAAATATACAAAGGCCCCTCCAAGTATCCATGCAAGCATTTGGAGTTGTAAATTATCTGAGTTTGACTCCTAACCTAAGACAACATCCTAGCTTTATCTTTGAGCTCATCTAATTAATCTTTCCCTTCCAATTCAAATTATTGTATATTTAGAATCCATTTCAGCCCTGATTTTAATTGATTTAAGATATAAATTGAAGGAAAAGGTTAAAAATACAAAACAAACAGGTTCCAGCAGGGAAGTACTGACACACTGTTGTACTCAATTAATGTGTCGCGTAAATGCTAAATTTCTATGTAAGCCAAGTCTCTGTATGTTTGAGCTACCCCTCGGTTTGTCACATGCGAGATGACTGCATTTGCCATCTCAGAACTGGGAAATATCCAGCTTCATAGAAAAATGTATTTTTAATTAAGACCTTAATTTATCATTGCACTGCATGATCACTACAATTGAATGAAAGATCATTTTGCCCTTCTCCCAGCTTGCCACCACCCTTCCACGGCAGAGGGATTACATCCTTTTGGGAGACAAGAGGTTTGTACTGGTAGCTCTGCCATGTCAGACAGGCTTTAGGTCAGGGGCCATACTGCTTCACATGGTGAGGGGAAGCTAGTGGGCAGCAGCAGTCATGGGGAGGTGACACTGGTTGAAAAACTTCACAAACAACAGCAGAAACACTTTATTTAGCTCTTATAAGTGCTCACTGAAGGAGGCAACTGGCAAACCACTTCTGAATATCTTTTATCTCAAAAAGCCTAGGATGAAGAAATCCAAAATGAAGGAAACGACAGTGTTGAAAGATGAGCCTCCCAACCCCCACTTCGAAGGTACTCATCCAGCTACTGGAAAACAGCAAAAGACAAGTATGAATAATGCAATGTCTAATGATACCATTGGACTCAAGCCAGAAGGATATTCAGCTGCTGATAAACACAGATTGAAAGGAAACTCTGAAGAAGCACTGCATAGATAACAGACATATGCAATGTAAGAAGCATGAATGAGGGGAAATTAGGAATGGTGAAAGACAAAATTGAGCATATAAACATTGCAATACTTGGGATGAACAAGTTATATGACAGGAAAGGGATATTTTTAATAAGATAATTGCATAGTGTTTGAAAATGCTAATTTTGGAAGAAGATGGGTAACATTAAGTGTAAACTGAGATGTAACAAAAATAGCAAGGCTTGTATAAAGTCAGACTGAATAACATAGGCAAGATTTCAATGAAAACCTATCATAATCATAATCTATGTTTATGCATCAGCTACAAGGGCAGAAGAGGATGATATCAAAAGATTTTGTGCTGGTGGTGATCAAACCTCAAACAGGATATATTAATAAGGAATTAGAATGCAAAAGCAGTTAGCAAAACAAACCTAAAATTGCTGGAGAATTTGGCCACAAAGAAAAGTTAAATCATAGTCGGGCCTAAATGGTGAAGAAGGAATATGGCTGAAGTGCTCATTCTGTGCCAAACACACCTTCATTGGGTGTTTTTTAAAAATGAAAACATGAAAAAAGCAATCACTTTCATTATGTTTAAAAATTGAAAAAAAACCAGATTAAAATTGCAACTATACTGCTATTTTTGGGAAGCAAAATTATATTTTATTGTAAAACCAATTGTATCTTCCTCTCCTCCCTAAAGATGCATGCATAATTCTTATATTTACAACCTTGATCTTTTTAATACAATATAATCATCACCATTATGGTAAATAGGGATCAGGACGTTTGACTCTAAGCACCCTGTGCCCTAATTTACACCCTGTTCTTCCTGAAAGTTTCATCTTTGAGATTTTGTGCATAATCTTTAGAGGAGTGCCCTTTTTAGAATCAATTTTTAATGGTGGAGCCCCTTTGGCTTACCTTATGTCTTACAAGTTAATGGTGTTTAAGAACAGTGTTACCAGAGTTTTGGGGGGGGGGGGGGAGAGAGAGAGAGGTGTTGGATAATAAGAGAACGTAAAATAAATATATATTAAAACAATTGTGTGATGTTCATGCGATGAAAATTTAAAACTTTGAAATTTGCCATAATATCTCAATTTATTCTTAACTATTACCAATACACACAATTCTACTTTTTCTTATTATTCTTTAATTTCTTTCAATTTTTATTCATTTTATTTTCCTGGAGCAGCTATGGAGCCCCTGGGAAGTGCATGTGGAGCCCTTAGGGCTACACTGACCACAAGGTTGGGAACCACTGTTTTAGAGGGACTGGGCATGGCAACATCTTCTGTATCTTTTGATTTAAGTCTTTGTTTTAATTGACTCTGATAAAGCAAATTCATGAAATCACTCTTTATTATATTAGGCCATTGATAGTTATTTATTTAAACAAAATCTATATTTAAAAAAAACTAACACAATTTTTTAGGATGCCAGGATCTGATTCTTAGTTTGTGCCTTAGTGAATACACAATGTGCCCAAAATTTCTGAAAGCTCTTCTTCACCTGTTGCTAGTGCCAGATCAAAATGATGAAAAACCCACTAATTTCAGTTTTGCAAATTATCTCATCAATATAAATGAGTTCTATTTTAAGCCTTGTCTATTTGTAAGCTTGTACCTAATTTTCCTAAAAAGAATGCACAAACATGCAGAGGAAAATATAACTCAAAATGAAAATTGCAGTACTCTAAATCAAAACTGAACTTATGCACAACTTTTTATCTTTAACTTCACATTATTGTAGTCATGCACATAACTAACATAAAGCATTTGACTAACATAGTGATCAGTTAAAACAGAAACCTAACATCAACAAAATTACTTACAACACTACTTCTGCAACTTCAATGCCCACTTTTAATGTTTTTTTATTGTATTGTTCATTAAATAATAATCTTCTGTTAAAATGTTAAAGAAAGGCCAGAGATAAATTTAACTATAATAGCAAGAGCTGCAGCAGCAGCAGAAACAACAACAACAAGGGTTATCATAATAATGGTGGCCACCATGCTTCCAGTTATGTTGGTGAAAAATCACATAACTGGGCACAGCTATGGATGTACTGAGTTATTACATTTTTAAAAAAATCTATTAAAATAACAATGGGCTTCTTTAAACAAGCAAAAGTAATTTCTTGCCACTATGAAATTTAATATAAATGATATATTGAGCAAGGGGTAGAAGCTGGAGAATGAACAGATTGATTAGCTGCAGTTGTAATTATTCAAACAAATGGCCATCTGTGTATTTATAAATGTGGATATACTTCTGCAGAAATCACAACTTTGGATGTTTTAGAACTTAGAAATTTATGGAAATAACCCTTCCTCTTTATATGCATACTTGTACAGATCTTTCCTTAATACATCATGCAAGGTTCAAAGCTCAATTGACTTCTTCATCAGAAGAAAAGTAACAAAGGCTAACAGAACTGCATTGGGATGCCTCTAAACAAAATGAACTACAATAAAAGCAACATCTCATGCAAAAAAGAGGTCTGTCATTCTACCAGTTACACTTTTCTTCTCCCATATGATTTTTAGTGTCTTTTTCCCAACAAAGAAGCCAGTGGAACTTCAAAAGCATGCATAATGTATGTTGTGCCTTTTTGTTGTCCAGTAAAGGAATCACTCCCTTTATGTATATTGGATTTTGTTTTATTTTGCAGCATAGCCAACATAACTACTCCTGAATACGTTTCCACTTCTTTCCTTAATTAGATGAGCCATTGGATATAGTGATCAACAGAAAAAGGGAACCCACCAATGCAAAGGGCGAGTTGTGAATGAACTACTCAGAGAAGTTACAAGCAAACAAGCTATTCTTCAGTGTAACCTCAGTTCCTCACCTAGCTAGCAAGGTGACCACAAAACATTGGCAGGAAGGCAAATGTAGAAAAACTACTCTGGTACATGTCAATACAATAGGGCCAAATAAGAATTGAGACCTTTCAGGAAGGTAGAGGGGCGAATATGAGTTTGTTCAGATAAGAACAACTCAGCCAAGCAAGTATTTCTCACCACCCACTTGACAAACCTCTGTAATACAACAGTCAGTTGTACATGTATGCAAGATGTGTTTTCTATTAAACTAGAAGTGCTCGACAACCAAACTCACTCTGATAGTTAAGAAAAAGTTCAATCAACCTTTATTGAATCAGTAGCATGGACACTCATTTTGATCAATGCATTCTTATTCCAAGTTCAAATCTTTTCTTTGCACTGGACAAGATTACCAAAGTTTTTGTGCTTTTAAATATTTTTTTCATATTTTC